TACCTGGAGAGAGTTCCCGGGGGTCAACGCCCCCGCGGCCCGGTCTGTGACCAGGCCTCCTTAGTGTTGTGTTGCGTCACAAGTGTAACTATGTTAAACATAAAGTTGTGGAAACAAAAACAGTACTGTTTTAGTAACACGGCTTCAGTTACAGTGCTTCAGTAACACTGCTTCAGTTACAGTGCTTCAGTAACACTGCTTCAGTTACAGTGCTTCAGTAACATTGCTTCAGTTTACAGTGCTTCAGTTAACACTGCTTCAGTTACAGTGCTTCAGTAACACTGCTTCAGTTACAGTGCTTCAGTAACACTGCTTCAGTTACAGTGCTTCAGTAACACTGCTTCAGTTACAGTGCTTCAGTAACACTGCTTCAGTTACAGTGCTTCAGTAACACTGCTTCAGTTACAGTGCTTCAGTAACACTGCTTCAGTTACAGTGCTTCAGTAACACTGCTTTAGTTACAGTGCTTCAGTAACACTGCTTCAGTTACAGTGCTTCAGTAACACTGCTTCAGTTACAGTGCTTCAGTAACACTGCTTCAGTTACAGTGCTTCAGTAACACTGCTTCAGTTACAGTGCTTCAGTAACACTGCTTCAGTTACAGTGCTTCAGCAACGCTGTTTCAGTTACCGTATCTCAGTAACACTGCTTCAATTACAGTGCTTCAGTAACACTGCTTCAGTTACAGTGCTTCAGTAACACTGCTTCAGATACAGTGCTTCAGTAACACTGCTTCAGTTACAGTGCTTCAGCAACGCTGTTTCAGTTACAGTATCTCAGTAACACTGCTTCAATTACAGTGCTTCAGTAACGCTGCTTCAGTTACCATGAATGTGTAGAGACGTTTTGCCGTCTTGTCAAGAGAGACATTATGAAATCTTAAGAATCGTCAATATCTTGTTACTCAAAAAAGCAACGAAATGCACAGACAGCTTTAAACTTGGTAAACGTCTTCTGTCACCAAGACTCTGCAGTGACTCCTGCTTGGTTGACCTGTTATTTGATGACGTTAAGCATATCCTGGGAAACATTATCTCAAATGATTTTGAAATATATTTGAAAGTTGAGTTGTAGCTGTATTCTTCAGAGTACCTGGTGAGTTGCAGCAGGCTAGCAGGCAGGTACCAGCATAAACCTGAAACCAGAGAGTACCTGGTAAGTTACAGCAGGCTAGCAGGCAGGTACCAGCATGAACCTGAAACCAGAGAGTACCTGGTAAGTTACAGCAGGCTAGCAGGCAGGTACCAGCATAAACCTGAAACCAGAGAGTACCTGGTAAGTTACAGCAGGCTAGCAGGCAGGTAGCTGCATGAACCTAAGACCAGAGAAACATGCAATCCAGACATTTGCTGTTCCCTGACAAAATGATTTATGACCAATGAATACTACACGAAAAGTATCAAAGCTTGGGATTTCTCTTCGTATTATGTTAGATTTAAGCGAATCATATTTATCTATATATATAGGAAGCGTTGCAATGTAACTGAAATTAAATACTTTCATTCTCGGTTTAACACGGTTCGCCAGATCATACAGCATATGCTGGCTCCTCTTTCTTGGGAATTTATATTGAAACTCAAGAGGAATCTTAGATCTGCACAGAATATTTATGCAGTGTTTCAACACGTTAAGATCCACAACTACAGTGTTAACTGGGAAGCTTCTCACATGATGTTTTATACAATTCCTCCAGTTGGTTATTATTACATCACATCCCTGTATCAGGGTTACACAAGGGCAGTGGAACCCTGATGTTGGAATCACCCCCCTAGCTTGAAGTTGATTGTTCAAGCACATGGTAGTGAAAATGGTAGTGTTTAGGCACCAGTCAGACTTTGGTTGGTGCCTAAACACTACCATTCTCACTACCATACTCTGGAAACTTACCCTACTTCTCTTGTTGCTGCCTTTGTAACATTGCACATATCCTGATGACGCACTGAGAAGTATGAAAGTACTTGAGCTAAAGATTTCCACCCCCCGTGGCTTGTCTTGCATATATATATATATATATATATATATATATATATATATATATATATATATTATATATATATATTATATATATATATATATATATATATATGTCGTGCCGAATAGGCAGAACTTGCGATCTTGGCTTAAATAGCAACGTTCATCTTGCCATAGGACAAGTGAAAATTTGTGTATGCAATAATTTCGCCAAAATCATTCTGAACCTAACGAAAAAAATATATTTGATTGTGTTTGTTTAGTACTAAATTATTGTAAACGTATTTAAAATATAATTTAGTTGGGTTAGGCTAAAATAAATTGCTCATGTAATAATAAGGTTAGGTAAGTTTTCTAAGATTCTTTTCGTGCAAAATTAAAATTTTTACATTAACATGAATGAAAAAAATATATCTTTATACGTATAACAGAAAATTTCAGAAAGGACTTAATTTTAAATGAGTTCTTGCTAATTGACCAGTTTTACATATTCGGCACTACATATATATATATTATATATATATATATATATATATATATATATATATATATAGATATATATATATATATATATATATATATTTTAATATTATATATTATATATTATATATATATATATAAAGAGGTATAGACAGATAGATAACTATATTTTTCCAAAGATGAAATGGTAGAAGTCTTTTGAAGGAGGTAAATCACGTGAGAATCTTGTGTGCTGGAAGAGCAAATTCAGCGGAGCTGACAGCCACTATTGATTGTCTGACCTCGAGGTCAAAGATAACAGTGTGGATAGGATAGGTGGGTGATGAGGCAGGTACATCAAGAACCTTTACCGCACCACCACTAGGGAGATAAA